CACCATCCCCCCTACTAATCAGTTCATCACTCTATCAATCAGTTCATCACTCTATCAATCAGTTCATCACTCTATCAATCAGTTCATCACTCTATCAATCAGTTCATCACTCTATCAATCAGTTCATCACTCTATCAATCAGTTCATCACTCTATCAGTTCATCACTCTATCTACCGTATATAAAGCTACTTCTGCAAGCGGCAGTAAGCCATCTAAATTCAGTAGAGGAGGAGTAGGGAACCTTGGCACTCCACCACAGATGTGGTCAAGCTAATCCCATTATATACCGCGTTTCCCCGAAAATAAGACAGTCTTATATTATTTTTGGCTCAAAAAAACACACCGGGTCTTATTTCCGGGGTAGGTCTTATTTTTTTTTTTAATGTACAACAACCCAAAGTTAATGCAAATCCAAATAAAAAAATCAAAAATGGCAAAGTTAAAGGAGTGATCCAGCCCCTCCCCTGTCACGGCAGAGAGCCGTGACAGGATCGAGAGGTGAGTGAACGCCCGTATGTGTTCACTCACCTCCCGATCTACTGACACTATGAGGTGAGTGAAAAGCACCCCCCTCATAGTTCTCCTTTAAGAATAGTGTGATCAGGGGGTGCCGTACCTTTCCAAGTGCAATTTGGTAACCAGGATGAGCGAAGCGCACTTTCACTATGGATTCCTCAAAGGCGGAGTGCATTTGGTATCACTCCGCCTGTGACAGGAGCCGGCGCTATAGAGGAGGAATCAGCTCATGCGGCTCTGCTCCCTCCGCTGTCGCCTCGCTTCCTCTAGCGCTGGCTTCGTTGGCACCTCTGATTCTCTCTCCCGCGGCTCTTCAAGTTCCTCCTTATGCCACCACCGGCCCTGGGAATGGTCACAACTAGGTCTTATTTTCGGGGAAACAGGGTATGTGCCTCTGGATGTCATGCCTGTGGCTGCCTTGTCTTGCAATGCCTTATGGGAGTTGTAGTACCTAATGTTGGAGTGCCAAGGTTGCCTGCAGTAGAGTTTGGGTGAGTTGGTTAGACTCCGAACATACCACAAGCTGTCTAAAGGCCACCAAGTACCAACATTGATCTTTGACTCCTCTGATGGCTTCATGTATCAATCCCCAGAGACCAGAACAGCCATGGATTCATACATAGGAACTGGACTTTCACCTGCACTTGGACCTCCTGTAGGACTTCTCCATTGAGAGAAGGGTGTCACGATTGTGTACAGCGTCCAGCGGGGAAATGTCGCAGTTGGATTGCTTCTACAGGTTTGCGACCTTTCATTTGTAATAGTGTATACATAAAAAAATAGGTTCTGGAGATGATGAAACCAACAGCTGCCTGAGGTGGTGCAGCACTGATCCCAGGAGCTTCCGGCATTCTGTTCCTACTACTGGGCATGTACCAGCACCACAGTGCACCCAATTCCTTCAACGTTCTCTATCAGACCCCCTTCACACTGGGACGGTTCGACGGCACGGATCCGCAGGCATGAAGGATCCCATACATTGCTATGGGGACTGTGCATGCGACCACGCGGGTCCACGTGACCCGAACTGCTCCCTGCACTATTTATTTTTCCTGCACTGCATACAGCTTTCAATGGAACCACACTGATCAGCGCGGTTTTAGTCGTTTTTAATTACGTTTCAGCGCAACGCAATAAAAAAAAACCTCCCTTGTGAGATCGGAGCGCTAAGCGTGCTGATCCGCTACCACCCTGGTGTGAATGGGCTCTAAGGGAGGAGTACTGTGACATCTTCAGTACTTCCTGTGACTCCAGCATCTGTGGTTAGGTAGAGCAATGCTGGTCCAGCTCCAGCAACAACAACTGATTAGACATTCGGACGAACCTACAAATCAAAGAAATTCGGCGGTTCGTCCGAATCCGAAATAACGAATTTATTACATGCCCGAATAATACTAAAACTATAATCGGGCAGACATACATTCGTTTGCAGAACGAGCGGCGGCCATATTGGTGTATAACAAGATACATTCAAAATTTAAAAAATGGCGGCGCAGAACACGTCAGCGGCCGGCGCTCGTTCTGCATTTTCGTTTTCATTTGTTTCGTCAGAAAACGCATTATTTTTTTTCAGTGCCCATGTCTACAGCTCATTCCAATAGTGAGCTACTGTCTGCTGAGCTACTGTCTGCTGATGACATCAAGCAATAGATCGGGCCTAAAAAGAAATTGTCTCCCAACGGATGCAGTTCAGGTTGCCATCCTCTCTGCTGCTGTCCCCTGAAGTCATTCCTTTTCGCCACTAGATGTCCTCAGTTTTCCAGGCTGAATGACACCCGGCATCAATCA